CTACTCAAATTCAAAGATGCTTAACCCCAAATATTTTAAAACCCTTAACCGATTGGAAGAAAGAATGCACTATTATTTATAAGTTATTTGAACCATAATGGATTATCTTTCAAGTTGTTCTGTTTAGTTAGTTATGGATTAACCTCAAATATTCCAAAATCAATAACTGATTAAAGAAGAGGGTGCATTCTTATATCCATCTATATTTGAACCCTCTCTTAAGTTATTTTTTGTTGTTTACACCAATTTGGCAAATTAACAATTTCTCTTTAAATAATCTAAATGATTAATAGTATAAGGAAGAGCATACACATTTGGGATAGTTATAACATTTAATGGACAATAGTCAATATAAAATCAAATACTCCCATCCAACTTTGCTACAATATGAAGTTCACACATGCAAGGACTTTAAGACTTTTGAATAACACATTTCTTTAACATCTCCTAGATATTTGCTTATAATAACTTGATCTTCTTTAGTGATAGATGAATCTTGATTGAATGAGCATCTCCAATTAGAATAGAATAATGTAGTGCAATCTTGGCACTAGATGATATTTCAAAGTCAAAGAGATTAATATACTCTTACTTAATCTAATCAATTGCTATAACATAAAGACTATTAAAGAGATCTAGAAAGGAATAAAAGAATTAGAAGGAAATATGGTAGGAAATAATAGGGAGACAAAAGTGATGGAAGTATAGAAAGAAGTAAAAAGATAAATTGAACAAAAATGAAAGGAATGGAATAAATAAGAGGTATAAAATGGATAAACCTTAAAGTCATACTTAACATGATTGCATTGACTGTGGGTATTGAAAGTTACCTGTCAACTAGTGCTTTCAGATATTTTTTCCTTATTGCTACGATAGCAGAAGGTTGGTATTGTTAAACCCTTTTTCAGTCTCCACTTAAACTAATTGAGAAATTAGTCTTTGTATGTGTACTTAACTTAAAAAACATAAGGATGGAATTCCTAAGTGTTATTAATCAAGCATACTTGACCTAGTTAGAGAAACTCATTTGTTGATTTGCACTTGCTAGTGTTAGAAACCCCTGCAATATTGAGTTTGGTCCCTCAATATTTGCAAGATGATAGCTTATTGTATCTGTTAAACACCCTCACTATCATATATTTTGTGCTAGTTCCATTCAATCTTAATTTTTATTTATGGAAAGTGTCTAGATTTGCTAATTTAACATATCTACGAAATGTAGAGATTGTTTTGAACACAATTATGTTCATCCCATACCCAAATTCTTAATCTAGTGCCATTCCATATGTAATAAGTTTTGAGTTAATCCTAAAGACTAACTCTTGGTTTTTAGGGTGACTAAGGATGAAAGCTTAGAGTGTGCAGTCCTTAAGAGGGGTATAAAGGCCTGTGGGGGGTTCCAAATGTATAGTAAAGATAGTAGGTAAGTTAGGCATGGTTAATCAATCTAAGACATAGACTAACTCCTGCTTGCATGCCTGTTTTTGTATTGTGTTTAGCTTGGGTCTTAACCCAAATTCCACACCATGCTAGCTGGTGGAATACCCATATCCTTACGTTAAATCACTAGTATATTGAAATAGTGCCAAACTTCGTTTAGCTCTGCTTTGCATGTTGATCTTGGCATTAGGATACTAGATGCTCTAGGACTATTCTAAGTCGCTCTATGCTCTTGTTTCTTCACTCCTTATGTTGTACGCTCAAGAGTCACTCTATGCTTCAATACCTTCATTTCTTAGCTCCATATTTAGGAGTTTGGCTCTGTTCCTTTATTCAATGGCCCAAGGCTCTAAAACTTAGGTTTTACTCTATTGTCCTTGGACACGTGGCATATGGCATATAGTATGTGACACATGGCACATGGAGGGTTTAAGTTTTACTTCATAGTTATCTTATGATAAATCACTATAGGATAAAGGGTGAAAACCATGTGCTCTATATTGTGCTACAATCAATCTATACTAAATAAAAAGTCAAAAGCTTGACTAAGCAACACCCACAATAGTTATAATTCAATCACAAAATCACCCACATATATAATTAGATCTATCTCATTCTACATACATATATGTATATAGTTGTTAAGTCTGGCTCTACTATATGATGCGAATATAGACAACAAGTGTGGTAATAAATTAAGGTAAGCTTCTAAATTTAGACTTCTCAAGAGGTAATCTAGCCCAATACTACTCAAATATATATCTTAACACTTTTTTCCAATTTATATATCCCAAAATCAAAATGAGAGTCTAACAAACATAACACATTTGGACCAAAAGCTTTAATTCAAAAAGTCAAGAATAGGAGTGAAACTCCTGAAGAAGTGTTCAAGAAATAAGTACAAAGAAATCAATGAATGAGTTTTTAGAAAAGGACACAAAAATGACCGATACATAGCAAGTGTCATAACAAGCGGAAGTGTCAAGACTAAATCCAAGACCAAGTTTGAAATGGAATCCGAGATGAAGTCCAAAATCGTGTCCAGAATGTCAAATATGAAGTCTAAAATTAAAACCAAAATTGAAATTGAGTTTGAGTCCGAGTCCGAATACTAATACAGGTCATGGGGTTATATAGACTCCACAAACATATGCTCTTAGTCCTTAGTGGTTATGAACTCCATGCATTATCTATGGTCCCTAGCCTCATCTCTCCCATGTGATTGCACCTACTGATGTGAGGGATTTGAGTCAATCATCCTAAGGATCGTATTAAGGGCTCATCCAAAGTATAGTAGGGAGTGTGGGGGTTGGACTCCAGTGAAACAAATTTGGTTAAAAAAGGCCAATGTGACCAAGAAAGGTTACATTCATGTAATGGGTAATGATATAACCACTGAAGAGTCCAAAGCTAGAATGAATATAGATGGACAAGTGGGGTAACTTAGTAAAGTGTTCAAGAGTTAATTATAACTCCCTTGAAATATCAAATAGTCAATACTTCCAATTTAAGTATGAATGGCACTACTTACTTGGATACCTTGTGTGGTTCATTAAAACCTCACTTTAGCCATATAACTGGGTCACCCTAGAGGCAAAGGGTGGGGGCAATACTTACAAGGCTTGCATTGGGCCATAATGTTTCGAAATGTTATTCCAAAATTCCAAACTATGAAAAGGAAGAGGAATGATCCTTTTGTTTATTGACCAAAAATATAGTCACATGGTAAAGAAGTCTTAGAGGTTAGTGGGATTCAATGGATGGGCCTTTAAGCCCTAAACCAGTGGTGGTATTGCTGAGCATTACCATAGATGAAGAGGAATTTGGTGGGCATCAAATAAATGATATTGGGAAAGGGTATTCCCCATATTTGGAGGCATCCTAAAGATGCTAAGAGGTGGTCATGGGATGACCACTCATGAATAGATGGCCTAATCTTTGAGAGACAGAACTATAATATAGGTGATCTTAGACTATTAATAAGACAAGTGTGAATGGATATGGCCTTAATAAAACAAGTTAGTATGCCAGTGGTACCCTTTAATAAGATTGGACATGTGGAACACTTTGACCAAGTGCAAAGGTAATATAGCTTTGAGGCTACCACTTGGGCTAGCAAATCCCCCAAGTTAAGATGAGGACTTATGGAAATTGTGAGTGAGACTCCTCTAAATTATCAAAAGTGTGGTTAAGTGATTAAAGTTGAATAGAAAATTTAATCACTTACAAAGGTGCACTCTGGTTTATAAACTTTATATTTGAAATTTTTCCCACCTAAGAGCATTACCCCCTCAAATCTAACTTAACAAAACAAACTAAACCACTAATAATATGGTATAATTCCCCTAACCAACCCCTTGAATCTAACTTAGTAGACCACTAAGAATGTGGTATAATTCTCTTAGCCAACCAAAAGAGTCGAACTTGAAATTTTTTTAATATTAAATATAAACTTTTAAATTTGAACTTCTTGAAATATCATTCAACACAAGACTATTCAATCTAACAAATTGAAAAATACTTGTGTCAATAAACCTTTTTCTTTTATATTTAAACCCTAATAGATCATATATCAAATTATTCTTTTTGGTTGCTTACACTTAGATATGTGGTATTGATCAAAGAATCAGCACACATTATACTTGTGGGGAAGTGTCCTCTACCTCAAGATAAACAGTGGTGGCTTGAACATCATCCAAAGCCAACTCAAAATGCATAGTGGCATTGTGATAGATGTGCATCCACACCTCTCTTAGCTACAATAGGGTTTGAGCATCTGCAAAACCAAGCAATCCCATCAGTAGACCTTGCAAATGAAAACTCTCACCATTTATGTGTAGAAGAACGTCCTCCTCACTCATCCACCTCTTTTCAAGGGTGCTCCTGGTCATTTCTTCCCACAATGCTACTTGCTCATTCATTGTCAAGGTGTTTCTGGGAGGGTGAACGTAAAGAGCCTTATTAAGCGTTCTGGGATCATCAACTAACTTGAGCAGGTAAGTTGCCTAGGTCCTCCTCGAAGAGATACATGACACTGAATCCACCAAAGTAAAAGGAGACAAATGCATGATTTAGAAACAACAAAACTAGTACTTTTCTGATCTCCATCCAAACCTTGTCTCTGGGTGGAGTGAAAGTCAGGAAACCGTCCACTTGTACAAAACTGGCAAGCATGAGCCCCATGATACAGTTTGCCATGAAGAACATGTTAAGAATTCCTGCTGCTTTGATGGCTCTTCAGATAGCTAACTTGTCCCTAGACATGGTCCTTGCAGATCCTATCCATGTCCACCCGAAACTCGGAGGGGTAGAACTTCTGGAGAAGACACCTCTGTTAAGTTGGGATTCACTTGAAAACCTTAATCGCCACCTTGATGTTTCCAGCTTCTTTCACGGCACCAATGAGATCGTACTTCTTTCGAGAATATAATTAATTAAAATTTAATAATCAGATTAAAAATCGTTTTTCTTACACGTGTAAAACAATATCTGTTTTCATTGGTCAATAGTTAAATTGCGGATAGAGAAGGTTTAATTAGGGTTCTTGCGCCCGTAGAAGGGGATATTTCGCGAGCGCGGAAGTGCTTATGAGGTAGGATTTGGATTTCTGGCCGATCGTGTCTCTCGAATCCGCATTGAGCGTAGAATGTAGTCAGTGCAGGTGAAAATCTCGGACAAATTTGATTGCCGCCATGGAGATCTCCTGCGTCGACAAGAGCATGCTGCGACTGGCTGTGGCGCTGGACAAGCGCGGCAGCGGCAATGCGAACCGAGAGGAATCCGTGAGAATGCCGAGATTATCCGAATCCAGGGAAGGCGGCGACTCTATCTCCTCCCGAAATCCGGGGGCGTCTTACAGGTCCCGGAGCTACAGCACCAGCGGATTTGTGAGGAAGACCTTCAAGCTGCCGAGCAATGGCCCCCTGGAGCTGGAAATTCTGGTGGGAAGGATAGAGCGTGGAGAGATTGGTTTCGAGGAAGTCCGAGCCTACACGGACAGGTACTTAACCGGAAGCTTTGCTGGGCGAGTGTTGCGGTGCTTCAAGGATGGAAAGATAGCGCTCGAGTTCTTCAAGTGGTGCCAGGACCAGGCAGGATTTTCTCACAGTACTTACTCGTACAATTGTCTCATGGATCTTCTCTTCCGGATGAAGCTCTACCAGGACGTCTACGCGACTTTCAGGGCCATGAGAGAGTGCTCTCCAAACAGGTATACTTTCCGGGTGGTGCTCAAGAGCTTTTGCAAGCAAGGGAAGCTCCGGGATGGTTACAAGCTGTTTGAGCAGATGCTAGACAATGGGATAAGTCCGGATGGGATCGAGTACAACATTCTCATCGATGGATACGCGAAGAAAGGGAGAGTTGACGAGGCCAACAGGTTGTACGAGGAGATGGTTTCTGTTGGCTTGGAGCCGAGCATCTATACTTACAACTCCTTGCTCAATGCGTTCTGCAAGGAGACGAAGATGAAGGAAGCCATGGAGCTGTTTAAAACAATGGCCGAGAAAGGCTTCGAGCCGGACGTTGTCACTTACAGCACCATCATCTCGGGGCTTTGTAAGACGGGGAAGGTGACCGAAGCTTTGGAGATGGTAGAGGAGATGACCGAGAAGGGTGTGAATCCCGACGTTGCGACTTACACTATCATCGTGGACAGGCTCTGTAGAGCGGGGAAAGTTGACGAAGCTGACGAGCTGTTTCACAAGATGATTGAACGGGGCTGCTCGGCAAACACTGTTGCTTACAACGCGCTCATCAACGGGCTCTGCAAGGACGAGAACATCGAACGGGCTTACAAGCTACTTGAAGAGATGGCGAGCAAGGGATACGTGCCTGACAACATCACATACAACACAATTCTCAGCGGGCTTTGCAGGATGGGGAAGGTGAGTGAGGCCAAGCAGTTTTTTGACAGTATGCCTTCCAGGGGATACAGTCCCGACGTTGTGGCATACAACGGTCTTCTGGACGCTCTGTACAAGGAAGGCAAAGTTGCAGAGGCTTGGGGTCTTTTCAAGACCATGGGTGAGAGGCCGGACAGGCTAACTTGCTACATTATGCTTCAAGGACTCTTCAATGAGAAGAAAGTGGACGACGCTGTCAAGTTCTTTGAAGGGGTCATACGAGACGGCAAGTTTGGCCACGAGGGGGCAACGTATTCACTTCTGATAGAGGGCCTTTGCAAGTCCAAGAAGGTGGACGAAGCTGTCACTATGCTCAACGAGATGCTCGAGAAAGGACACGTTCCACAGACTGTCCCAGCAACGGCCCTTCTCTCGTCGCTTTGCAAGGAGAAGAAGGTTGATGATGCTTTGGCCTGCTTTGAAGCGCTGAAAGCCAGGGGATACAAACCGGACGTGGTGACTTACAACGCTCTTCTCTCCGGGCTTAGAAAATGCGAGAAGTTTGATTTGGCCGTCAGCCTGCTGGAAGACATGGCGGACAGGAAAGTCGCTCCAGACTTGATTACGTACAACACACTTATCGATGGCTTTTGTCGCGTTGAGAAGACAGACGAGGCCATGAAGCTGTTCAAAGACGTCATCGCCAAGGGATACATGCCAGACACTGTGACTTACAACTCGATACTGCTGGGGTTGGCAAGAAAAAGCAACATGGACGAGGCCGAGGAAATGTTTAAGAAAATGGTGGCTAGCGGCTGTGCTCCAAATGGCGCAACGTACAGCATCGTTCTCTCGGGTCACTGTAGAGTGGGGAACATGGCTAGATGCCTCGAACTCTACGAGGAAATGACCGAGAAGCGGTTCAGCCCCGATGTCCTGCTCTGCAATGCCGTCATCGATATGCTTTGCAAGGCCAAAAAGGTGGACGATGCGCACAAGGTTCTCGAAGAGATGAGCAAAATCGGAGCCGTGCCGGATGTGGTTACGTATAACATCCTTCTGGACGGGCTGTGCAAAACCAACTTGGTGGACAAGGCCCACGAGCTGTTCTCGACCATGGTCGACAACGGCTGCGCTCCAGACATCGTAAGCTACAGCGTTGTCCTCAACGGGCTGTGCAAGACAAACAAGGTGCACGATGCCAGAGTTCTCTTCGACAGGATGATCGAGAGGAAGTTGGTTCCGGACGTTGTCACCTTCAACATCTTGATGGACGGGCTGTGCAAGGCAGGGAAGTTGGACGAGGCCAAAGATCTTCTGGATGTTATGAGCGAGCACAACGTTCTTCCAGATGGAGTGACTTGCACCACGCTCATGCACGGCCTGTGCCGGGACAAGAGAACGGACGAGGCTGTGAGGCTTTTCCAGTACATGGTGGAGAAAGGCACTGTGGCTGACGTCCTCCCCCACAACATCGTCCTCGCAGGCCTGTGCAGGGAAGGCAAGCTCGCGCAGGCCCTTCTCTTTTTCAAGT